CCGCGCGTGCGCACAGAGCACCCCGGGCCGGCCGCGCGCCCTCGCTGCCGCCTGCTGCCGGTGAGGGGGCCCGGCCGCCGCTCCGGGCCCTGGGGCGGGCGGGGCGCGGGGCGGGGCCGTTCGCAGCCGTTCGCCGCCGCCTCCTTCGCGTCCCGCAGCGCCGCCCGAGGGTCCCGGCCTCGGGCTCGGGAGCGCGGCCGGGCCCCCTGAGGCCCCGCGGCCGCCTGGGCAGCGCTGTCTGTCGGTGCCCGCGAGGCCTCGGCCCCTGACGGGGGGCGCCGGGGGCGGGGGCGGGGCGCCGAGCCGTGGGGGGGGGGGGGGGCTGTGCCGTGAGAGAAACGCCTCTGTCTGTCTCCCCAGCTCCTCAGGGCGCTGCGCCATGTCAGGGCTGCTCGAGAGTGTGAGGTGCTCGGAGTGCGTTGACTGGGGAGAAAAGCGGAACGCGATCGCGTCGGTGGCTGCGGGAGTGCTGGTAGGTGCCGCGCTGCCCCCGAGCTGAGAGGGAACCGCTGGGAAGCAAAAGGAGGCCACGGGGAGGGGGGGGGCGTTAGCAGCAGGATTAGTGCTGGGATGTGCTCTGGGTGCTTGCAGCCGTGCGAGTTTTTCGGTTTCTATCCACGTGATTACTATTGGAGTAGATAAATCACGGGTTTTGCTCTTAACTGTTACTGGACTAAACTGAAAACAAAACTAGGCGTGCCATAAACGAGCTCTGTAAGTATGTTTTTGTAAGCTGGCATTTTTTTCCTAAAGCAATCTTTTGTATTGTTAAAAGGTTTGCATCTGTATTTTAAACTATTGTGCTTTCTTTTTTTAATAGTTCTTTACCGGTTGGTGGATAATCATAGATGCAGCTGTGAAGTACCCTAAAATGGAAGACTTCAACCATTCTTACCATGCTTGCGGGGTTATAGCCACAATTGCATTCCTAATGTAAGCATAACTTTATCATCAGAGCTACCCACTCATAGAATTTCTGTGCTGTTACGAATTTAAAAAAGAGCATAGGCTTTAAATTGAGAAGTAACTGAGAATAACAAATCAAGGTAATATCTGATTGTTAGTAACATCAGAGAATGGTTTGGGTTGGAAGGGACATTAGAAACTATCTAGTTCCAGTGCCCCTGCTGTGGACAGGGACACCTTCCACCAGCCCCAGGCTGCCCAAAGCCCCTTCCAGCCTGGCCTTTGGCACTGCCAGGGGTGGGGCAGCCACAGCTGCTCTGGGCAACCTGTTCTAGTGCCTCACCACCCTGAAAGGAAAGAATTTCTTCCTAATATCTATTCTAAAACTACCCTGTTAGTTTAAAGCCGTTACCCCTTGTCCTATTATTATACTCCCTGATAAAGAGTCATCCTTCCCTCCCCCCCAGCTTTCCTATAGGCCACTTCTAGGTACTGGCAGGTCACTGTAGGATCTCCCCAGAGCCTTCTCTTCTTTAGGCTGAACAACCCCAACCTTCTCAGCATCTCTTCATAGGAGAGGTGCTCCAGCCTTCTGATCACCCTAGTGGCCCTCCTCTGGGCCTGCTCCAACAGGTCCATGTTCCACTTATGCTGGTGGTCCTAGAGCTGAATACAGTATACCGAGTGGGGGTACTGCAGATATGTAAGAGCAGATTAGAGGAGGAAAAATCACCTCTCTCAACCTGCTGTTGTGAACCTTCTTGTGAAGCAAGCCAGGATAATATGTCTTATATTTGTTTATAGTAAGTATAGTAACCATCTAAAAAACTGGACATCGTACAGACCCACATGTTCGTAGTATTTCGAGATTATTTTTTTTTTAGGTTTTAGCGTTGTTCTCCACTTCCAAAAAAAAAGTGTAAGAAGTGCACCTCTATTTAAATGGGTTTCTGAGAAGTTTCTCCTATTGTTTTATAAATATTTTTTTCTTGCTTTACCAATGTTTACCCACTTCCATCCTGTTTTCCACTTCCATCCTATTTTGCACATACAGGATCAATGCGGTGTCTAACGGACAAGTTCGGGGTGACAGTTACAGTGAAGGCTGTCTAGGACAAACAGGTAAAGTGGTGCAGGTTATCATATAGGGATCTGTGTGAAGTCCATAATTCTTGGAAGAGTTGTAACAACTATACCAGTGTACACGTTGTGTTTTTCTGCATATCTCTGGTGTGTCACAAAACATGCTCTGAAACTAAAGCGTGTTCAAAGTTACAGGTGTCTGTACTCAGACACAGGCACAAAACATCCATACGTCTTTTTTTAAGGTGCTCGGATTTGGCTGTTCATTGGTTTTATGATGGCTTTTGGATCTCTGATTGCTTCTATGTGGATCCTTTTTGGAGGCTATGTTGTTAAAGGTAAGACACAACATGGAATGTGATTTGATCCATTTTTGAAAAGTTCAAATATTTTAAATGACTACAGAATTTTTGCAGCTTATGTTTAGATTGTTTCTAAGGAGGTCCAGTTTCAATATTTTGGTTTCCTGAACACCCCTACTTTCCCTTTTTCTGTTGTGAAAGGGAAACAAGCTGCCTTGCCCATATGTAAGGAATTTGGGTAGCTATTGTTTGATGTCAGTGGAGTAAAATTAGCAAAGCCTTAGGCCGCAGTATGAGCTCCCTGTAACCTGGTATGCAGTGGTGTCAGTCACAGCAAGCCACACTGTGCAGGGGGCCTGGGTGGCAGTGATGGGGAAGGGGGGATGTGCTGACCAAGGACGGCGCCAGATGAGAACCTGCCCCACAACAAAGAACGGCTGATTTGAAGGAATATAACTTCTATGTGTCCAGAACTGATTGCACCACAGTGGATGAAACAAAGATTTTACAGGTATAGGAACCCACAGAAAGTTTTCAGTGGGGTCCTTCCTTGGAGGCATCCAGCTTGAGCTGATACATGGGTACCATTAAATTCTCACTGCTTTAAATAGTTGACTCTTTTGAGTGAATTCCAGATACCTGGGGAGACCCATTTTGCTAGGGGAAACAATGGGGATCCCCTTACATGAATGCACATTTTGGGTTATAGAACAAGACAGATTTCTTTTATTAGGAAAGCTAAATGATTTTGTGGAGCACAAAAGTCACTGAAATTATTTTCTAGTGGGGTTACCCTTGTGCTCATCCTTGTTTTGCACAAGTGAGTAACAGAAATTGGAGAAAACCATCTTGTCAGAGAACAAAAAGGGTTATACCAGATGTACAGTGCTATCTTAATTCCATGAGAGAACAATCTGCCTTAGGTGGATTTGTTACTAGTAGTAACAGCGCTAGAAGTTTGTTGTGAGATGGAGTATTCTTGAGAAGTACTTCTGAAGAATTAATGGAGATTTTTGTTTTCCTTTAGAAAAAACAGTAGTATACCCAGGAATAGCTGTGTTTTTCCAGAATGCATTCATCTTTTTTGGGTAAGCCTATTGGCCTTTGTTTGTTTCTTACTGATTGTTTTCGTTCATTAAAACTGGAATTTGCTGTAATCTGTTTTTTACTTCAGCTCTATTGTTTTGCAATTGGATATGGGTGAATAAACTGTTGGTTAAGGCACTCTGTGATCTGTCTGCATAGGTCTTGTTGCAGGACCAGGACACGGATTTACAAATACTTCAGCTTGCTCCCTGAAATCATGTATTTAAAATATTAGGTATTTAATATTCTCCCTTACATACTTATGTACCTTTATTGTTTTAAACAGAGGACTGGTCTTCAAATTTGGTCGCACAGAAGATTTGTGGCAATGAACATGCCTATGGAAGTGCGTTGGCTATGTCTTTTTTTTTTTTTTTAACTGCATAACTCCAAAAATTTTGTAAAACCATTTTGTATACAGTGACCTTCAATTGTGTCTGAAGATAAAACAAGGAAAAATTAAATCATAGCACTAAAAATTCTGTTTTCTTCTTCTGATTTAAATGTAATGTTTTTGACAAATGTAAAACTGCTACAAGTAACAATGGAAGTCACTTTTATACGTTTGCTGTAAGTAAATAGAATAGTGGAAAACTGATGTATTTAACCAACTGTTTCTATAATATTTACAATCCAAGACCTACTAAAATGCTTTAAAACAATTTTTTAACATATTTATTAAATATTTCCTATGTCCAGACAATATAAACAGTTCTTCAATTTCAAAATTTACTGGTACGTGGCTTTTCTTGTATTAAATAGAATGGTGCTGCTTTAGACTTTTTTCCCCCTGAGTAATTCATTTATTCTATGGTGATATTGAGAGAGTCACTGGTAAATAATTTACTGTTGCTGTGGATTACACAAGTACAAATTATACAGTTGCTCTAGCTGTAAATAGTTCATCCACAAAGCTTGCTGTAAGATATTTCCTAACAACAATAAAAACGAGGGAAGAATACTCTTCAGCTGGGAGTTAGACCAGGGACGGTCACTACCAGGGAGAATTCTGATCCCATAAGCATACTCACGTGAATGGTGAGATACAGGAAGAGCTGTTTTACCCCTTCCTCTACGTACATTTTGGCTACTTGCTCAAGAAATCGCTGAGCAAAAAGATGTGGAGGAAAGGGAGGGATAAAATCTGATTCTAGCAGAAGTCATTTTACAGAAAACATCAGAAGAACTTTGTGTTGCAGAAGTTATGTTTGTTTCATTGCTGAAAAGTAAGAGACTGAATATACAAATTCAGCTTGGATTGCAGGATTACAAAGGCAGGAGTGCACTAACTGTGAGATAAGGCAAGTGTGTGAGTGCATATGTATCAAGCTGAATAGCACTGTAAGCTGATGGAAGCTGCATGAAGTTGGTAAAGTAAGAAAGATCACTGGCTATTTTGTGGGCTGGAATTAAGAAAAACTGGCACTTCCTCTCTGAGTAACTTTGAAACCTGTCTCACATTTCCTTTAATTGCAGTGATCTACTTTGTTTATTCTCTAGTGAATGAGTTGAGGTCAGCATACATTGCTACAGTGAACAAAGAACTTACCCTTCATTTTCAGTGTTGCAATTTTCCCCTCATTACTTCATTTTTAAGCAAGTGTGCTGAGTAAATAAAAACAATCAAAGCTTGACTTTTTTAATTATGTAAGAACTTGCATATCAACTATTTGGAAATAATGAAGAAACACAGGATTGTAATCCATAAAAAAGGGGCTTGTTTACACAGAATCTTCTGCACAGTGAGGCTGTAGCTCATGGACCAAAGCCCCTGCTTGTCTCAGCTGGAGTCCTTTGCAAACAGGTATGTGCTGTGTTCCATTCAAATCAAAACTAAGGCCTTTAAAAGATATTACTGGCAGTCTTAAATCAATAAATTTTAAAATCTTTTAATTTTCCAAGTTGATCATCCACCCAGTACAAAAAATTAAAAAAAAAAAGTGCTATTACCTATTCTTGTATCTACAGTGTAGAAGCTCTATACAATGTTTCTTAAAATGTTTAAAAACCAAACAACTTCGTTAAAATATGAAAAAAGAAAACATCAAAATTCAGCGTGAGACACTTTAGAATTTGGGTTTTAGCATTGGTATCATGAAGCTTGTTGTGCAAAATTAAGCCCAGTCTGGTTAAATTTATTGTATAACCAGCCCTATCAAAACAAAGGGGAATACCCAAGAAAGGACTGTTCCCTCCTTCTCTGACTGACATTCATGCCTTTACAGCACCCGGAGCCTTTTGGATAGCTGGCCATGTGCAGACTGTCACTGCTCAAGAATAGTGTTCTAAGGCTTGTTCCTGAAGTAATGAGTAACAATGCTGTTAATTTCAGTGACACCATCCACAAGCAGAACAATTTAATTTCTTGCCGTTTGAACATCCAGAGAGCCTAGCCTGAGCCACCCAAGTGTAGATTTTTCTTCAGGCAGTCAGATAACTCAAGAGTTCAGTCTGGCAAGATGCAGAGTTCTGGCCCAGATCCAGCTCAGTCATTAAATCCCCACTTTACAAGACCTCTAACAAAATTTAGCTTAAAAACAAGCACTTTAACGCTTCACTACATCAGAGTAAGTGTACTCCCTGTACACATAATATTAAAACACATATTTTGGCTTTTAAAGTGGGGAGTTAAAAATAGCTTTCTAAAAATTTCTAAGCATTTCCACTGATAAGCCGTTACAGCGATGAATGCGGTGAACTTTTTTGTACATGTTCTATGAACTATTTAAGGCAAGACCATTAAAGCAGAAAAGCTAAATGCATAATAACTTTTACATCTGTAAATTTACAGCCTGGTCTTTCAAGAATAACTAGAAAAGTTTGTTACCAAACTTGTGTGGGAAGGGTTTTTTGAGTATGAGAATTGATAATTAAGTGCTCTTTCATCCCATCATAGTTACTCATTTTATCAAGTGACCTTTTCTTGGTTGATCTTTCATGTGGGTTCATCCATTCAAAATCCAACGGCCAAATGGGGAAACTGCAAGACAAATATTCTTGTATCAGAATATTTTATGCATCAAGTCATCATATGAAAAAGGTAATGGAGAGCCTTACTAGAAGCTTATTCTAATTTCTATGATTCAGACATTGGGTCACATTCAGCACCTAAACATGCACAAAGCCTGTGTTTATGCACCAGCTTTAAAAGCCACTCTACGCCCAGTGAAGGCCAGGAGACTTGGTCTGCTTACTGGCTTCTAAAAATCCCACTCGTAGGTGCTCAGATTTCCTCAAGGATGGTATATGAAGCACAGGATGTCAGAGCATGTAAGATTATGCATTACAACAGACAAGATCATCTCAGATTTAGCTCTGTGCCCACCAACAGCTCTGAGAGTCGTAGCTGAAGGATATGATACATACATTTACAATATGCAGGCTCTAAACAGTTCATCAAACGGCATTCAAAGTGGACTATGAAATGAATGCTTGGTGCTATATATACTCCTACATGGTTAACTTTACCCTGAAACTTACCTCCCAATAAAACTGGTCTTCAAAATACTGTGATACAGGGATGATCTTCAACAGTTTGAAGTTTAAGATTAAACCTATTTGTAAAAACATATACATGTATCACAGAAAGGGGATGTCTGTGTATAACTGAAAGTTTCTTAGTAACACACATGCAAACATAACATCAAAATACAAAAGTGGAACAAAATGCTTCATGGGAGCCCCTTGACTCAAGTTGACTTTAAGTACAGAGAAGCTTGCCAGGATTAAGGCCTGTATTATAAAAGCTTAATTTGTACAGGTAAAGCCATTAAACAGTCTGCCAGATTCTAAAGATCATTAATAAAAGTCATTAATTTCTTGCTTGAAAACTGCCTGAGTTTTTAAAGCAAACAGGCTTATCAGCATTGTTAGCTTGAGATTTCAGGTGGAAACATAGATTTTAAAACTTAATGACCGAATGATTGTTTAAGCTGTTTTTTGTAAAAACTGCTTGATTAGCTCAACCTCGTTAACTACCCCCGAGCTAATGCAAGGGTTGCAGATCAATTAAAGCACAAAAAATAATTTTAAAGTATATTTCACAGGAACTTTTAACTACCATTTTTCTTCCACTCATACCAGAATTAATAGAAAAACTGCAGCTGCCATAAAATAGCAGAATGTCATATGAGGAACACATGAGCCCTGATGACCCCAAACCATTAGTGATCAAAGGCCTAATATTTGGCTTATGTAAGCAAACCTCTGACATTAGTGGAACTTTGCAGATTTATACCAACAGGCCTAAAAAATGAGAAACTAAGATAGCATTTTTCTGTCCGTAAGACAATACCAAAATGTAGAAATATTTTCATCCTCACACATCTGTATGAAATCTGAAGGAGGATGTTAAGCATCTGTTTAAATAAATGTCACCAACAAATGAATGGTGCTAGCAGGTTATGTTGAATACATCTCTTCTTCAAAGCCCTCCTATGAAGAGTTCCTGGTGTTAATGTGTCAAACAGTTTCCTTCTATATGAACAAATCATTCATACATATACGTTTATACGTTTATACACTTTAACACCCCAGTTACACTGGCATCTTTATACAAAGACTTGCACTGACATGGTAACAGATATAGTAGGAAGACATACCCTTTGCCCACAAGGAAAATGAGGAAGATATTACTGAAACGTTTTTCCATACTTACCTGTAATAAAACCTGTTATCAAGGCAACACTGATGGTCAGGCAGAAATCACTGATGTAAATCATGACCATATAACCCAGGCTGAAAAGCAAAACAAGTGTTTCACCTTTGACAGTTTGATTTTAACAGAATGTGAATTAATCTGCCTCAAGTGGTGCACGTGCACATTTCCTGTCAAAACCTCAAATTATTATTTTAGAATCTTTATATAGCTGCAATTAGATGTTTTAAGAGATCCTAGCAGAAGCCTAATACAGACTGATATTGCACCGTGATTCATTCTTATATAAGCTGAGAAACTTACACAGAGAACTTCTTACATGATGCGACATGGGCTTGATTTGTGAAAATGAGGTGCCAGTGCCATTTCAAAAAAATCCTACGTAGACCTATACTTCACTGACCCTTTTGCAGGATATCTCCCCAAGTATAATTTCCAGTTGGGTGTCCAGAGTGGCTGTAGTCCAGGCTGGCATTTTTGCCCCTGATTAAAGGCAAAGCCTTTTTCAGACAGAAATGATTTTTACTTTTTTTTTCTGTATGCTGTATTAGCATACAAAGCTTTCCCAAAACACAAAAGTCAAAATGAGTCTTGGAAGGATGTGCTTCTCCATCCATCTCCCATGTCTGCTGTATTTAATATGAAATGAAAAGGAAGAGAAAATGGAACCAAAACATAACATTAAAGTTTTGATCCAAAGCCTGCTCAGCTCAGAAAGTCTTTATGCTAACTTTTTTGGACTTCAGAGATGATCTGAGGTTATCTGGTAAAATATGATTTATCTGTGATGACTTTCAGGCTTTCTGTATGTATGAGAACTCTACTCAGGGTACCCTACAATAATCATTAAACTTATTAATATCAAAAAAAGACGTACCTTGGTGAAACAGTCCATTTTTTTATTACTGAGAGAACAACCTGGGCAACAGCTCCAAGTAAACCAGGCAAGCCAAAAGTGAAATGAACTCCAGATGCATCATGAATCTTGAGCGCAGGATTCAAGCATCTCTGGAAAGAGGAAAAAGTTTAACTGACAGACAAAACCTCAAGTCGATTACAGCACATTGCATATCTTTGAAAAATAATTTTGGTCTTTTAACTTGCAATCCTGCACTCCAGTCAAGTCTTCGTTTCCTGGCTTTAATTTCTTTGAAAGAGAGGTTTACTCTGAGGTATCCTACGCTGGAAAAGAAGTTTATACAGCTTATACAAAAATGAATTTCAGGTTTTGAGCATTACCTGTAAACAGAAAGATCCTAATATGGTTATCACACTGGCAAGCAGACCCAAAATCATCGCAATCCAGGGATAGTCAATACTTTCTGCTGTGTAACAAACAGTAACCCCACCCGCTAGTGCTGCACTGTGGACATGAGTCTGTAAAATAAAATAACAAAAACATGGAGTGAGAATTCAGGCATTGCTTGTCTTATAGCTGTACAATATCATAGACCACTAATCTTATGCAAGTAGAATGTCTTTTGCATTAATTTGTGATTCTGTATACTGTGAATTACCATCTGAGAATATAATTTCTAAGTTACATTTAAAGACTTCTGCTTGGCAGGCTAATGACAAATGTGAAGCTGAAACTTTGGAGCTGTTTTTACTTAATAGCTATTATACCTTTGGTGCTTTACAGAAAGTAACAGAAAAATAGCTTTGCCACACAGCAGTTTTCTCTCATGTCTTACCATTCTGAATTTTCCATCCTTTGTGGTCAGAACAGACAACGTGAAGGCAGTTACAGCACTCACTGCAAGTGCAAAGTAGGTATTGTAGATGGCTTTGGTCTTGTCTCTATCAGCTAGTACAGAATTGAAGCTTGGCCAGAATACCCAAAGAAAGAGAGTACCTTGGAGACAAAGACAAGCAACTATCATTACTTGCTCTAAAACACAGCAAATCTATGATAGGCTGTGTCTGGAAGGCTCCAGCCCACATTTTTCCATTTGCTGCAATTCTGCAATTCCCTTGTTGTGAACAGAGGACAGCAGCACTTTACAGCACAGACAGCCCTGGGAGCTGACTGCTACTCCAACACCTTCCCAGAAACTTGGTAACGTCATACATGCAGCCAAATCAAGGCTCTACTGGGAGTTGGCTGGTCTTTCATGGAGCTCAAGCCAGGATGTACTTAATGCTTTTCAAGAACACCTTTAAAAACAACTTTCTTATATACAGTCCCCTTAAACAGAGGTTTAAATACAAGTGGGAACAATTTCACCATTCATTTCCAAACGATAAGCATTATGCTTGTTCTGCACAGGCATTTGAAAACAGACTTTCAATGGTACCAAAAATAACGACATCCAGGACTATTAAGCACTGCTGAACAGAAGAAACTTTGAAAATCCAGGAGCTTTGCGCCTATGTTTTTGCACAGACGTACGTAAGTGCACAGACGACAGCACAGACAAGCTGCAGTTTATTTCGCTTTGTCTAGACATTAATTGTTGTTGTTCAGCTTCCATAGCTAATGTTCATGTCTCCATAACTGAACCAGAGAGGTACCAGTCCCTGAGCACTTCACCTGACAGTAAAATTTTAAGTTTTCTTTTGTCAAGTCTTTTGTCAAGTGAAGACAACTGAGAATTGCAAAGATGTTAGTTCAGCTGGTGACAGTTACATAACAGAAGTCACAATAATGAGGAAACTAAACTGCTTCTTTAAGAAAAAAATGGAACTCCCATATGTTCAGCCTGTCATTACTCAGATCCTTTCTCGTGCGCATGTCTGTATCATATTCCCCTCCCTTCAGTGGGTTTTTATCTTCTCATTTACGTTACTAGGCAGGGACTGTATTTTTATATCTCTGTACAGCACCTTGCGAAGAAAAACTGAGCCTCAGCCCAGCTGGAACTCTAAGCACTACTGAAATACAAGTAATAACCTCAGTGCACATGTCCCTTACTGATCTGCCTATACAAGGCCAAAAGAGAGAAGTTAGTTGGGAGAGGGAACAGTTAATTTGCTGTAGACTTTAAGCTGAGACTGACACAAGCAAACTGCCTTTGCAAGAGTGACCTACATGCCTGGTAGGAAACCTGCTGAGACTCACCAACTCATTGTCAGAAACCATGAACCACAGCAGCATTCTGTGCTGGACAGCACTCAGACCTGTACTTTGAATGCAAAAGCTTCAGTGTGCCATGGCCTGTTCCCCAAAACCTCCTTCGTGCTCTCACTACAATCTCTTCTTCCGTCTGAGGCATTAAACCAAATGTCTTACCCAACATTGACAATAAATCCGACTTCGGGGTACTTGCATTCTTCTCAGACCTCGGTGATGGCTCAGAGAAACGTGAAGAGACTGCCAGACCAAAGTAGGCTCCAAACAGGTGAACGTGCTTCATGCTGATATTGTCTTGAATCTGTGTCATCGGAATACTTTTGTAACATTTTATGCCACAGAAACCCTTTGATTAAGACCCTGATATAGTTACTCATACAACCTCCCTATGGACTATTTGTTATCACTGTCACTCAGTTTAAGCAGGAGTTATTAATGCCACATTAATTTATGAGCTCGGTGTAGCTCATAAACACAATTCATTTACAGAGAGCCTGAAGTACGTTGGCATTGTACATTAAAAGCAGGTCTTTCTGTGCTGTCCAGGCTGGGCTTTTCTGTCATTCATGCTGTTAATCTCCCAGATTGAACCAACAGGGAGGGAGCAAAGGTTTAGGATAATCAGTACCTTAGCAAAGGTCAAAGCTTTCATTCATGTGTTGGGGGTGGGTCAGGGCATGGGTAAGGTCAAATGCACTATATCCCAATCCATCAGATCAGCTTATCCTTCAAGATCAAGAATCAGTCAATTATACCGGTGCAGAATACTGAGCATTTGGAGGTTGATGCTTAAATGTACTCTCAGGGTCAGACGTCATATCTCAGTGAAATCATAGCCACAATCTAACTGAATGAGATAAAATACACTGATGTTCCCATCAGCATGGCACTAAGGAATCACCAAAAAGCAACACTTCCACAGTCCATGTGAAACTTTCCCCTCTGTTACTAGAAATCATACTACTGTACCTGCAGGAATTGCTTGTTGATCCATCTGCTCACATGGAAAATTATTATCTCTACAACTGTCATCACAATTAATTGTAAAGGGTTCGTTTTCCCAAGAACTGCTCCACTGGAGATGGCCACAGCAGTCATACTCACAGCAGCCATTGTTATGCTGTAATGAAAGAAAGAAAATAATTCCATACTGGGACCACACCAGGGGCAATGAAAGAATGACAGATGGCCAAATGTACTTAACACTCCAAAGCCCTCCAAAAAAGTCTGCAAATGACCATGCTAATTAACAATCAGGTCAATAAAACAAGGCATTGTCTTTGACAGAAAGCAGTCAGCAGCTCCAGATCAGTTCTTGTGAGAACTGGAATAATTACATTTTAGGATCACGTTCCTTTGTTTCTTTGGGAAATAATAAACCTTCCATCAGAATGGAGCACTGGACACCAAGTACGATAATGAGGAGGTTGAATCCTGTGCTGCTAAAGCTGTATCTTTTCAGAAATGCCAGGAAAAAGCCAAATCCAAAAATCACCATGATGTTGACATCTTGAAAATCTGCATGACAGAAAAGACCAAGAGAACAGTCAAGTGGTTAATGCAGACTGAATTTCTGGTTTAAAAATAAATAAATAAATAAATAAAATTACCATTAACTAAGAAGCCTTTAGATAAAAAATTGTGTGTCAATATTATTTTTTAAAGATTTCCAAAGCTTTCTTTCTGATCCATAAGCAACCAGAAAGACAATACCGTTGGCCCTGAATTTAATTTTACACAGCGACCTCAGAACAGATGAACATGGAAACCATTGCATAAAAGGAAGAGGCTGTCCAAGGTACAAGGCCTTGGATCTGTAGGCCTGGAAGTATCCCCCAGGACATGCTAACAGTCATAGTCTCATATGGCTGCGCAGACCTCTACGTATGGCAAAATATTAAGCTGCTTGTAAGCAGGTCTCATTTTTCCTGGCTATAAAACAGGGAGGGCAATACCAGAATGTCACGAGGATTAACCAACTCACTTCTGCCCAGCACTGTGAATATTTTATACACTATGGCTATAGCATACTCTGCTCATACATTCCTTTAATCAACGCACAAAACAAATTTCCAAAATATATTTAAGCCCTTAATTCCACTGTAATAGCTTCACGTATTTGGAGCAAGCATTCAGTTGGAGAACACTGCCATCCTGAACTTCTGCTTTGTGGCACGCCGCCTTGCATGCCAACACTGCGTGAGGCTTGGGCGCGTAGCTCAGTGCAGTACCTGCCCTCAGAAGTTTGTGCTTACAGGAATCAGGATTACCACCAACAGACAGCAGAAACAGATAAGCAAGGCAGTTGGTATCACGTCTTTGTTCACTGTCTTTGCTTTGATATGAATAAATATAACACACGGCAAAGAAGAGTACTTAAAGGTCAGTAAAAACATTCTACTCAGTAACAAAAACAAAACTGCTGAATCCCAACTCTGCTGCACTGCAAAATAAAAGCACACACACAAAAAAAAGCCCTTCCTTTCACAGCTAAACCAGCAGTCTTACCTGTGTAGGAAATGTTTGTGATGAAGTCATTGTAATGTGGGAACAAAAAGTAGAAGAGGATGATGAAAACAGTTTCCAGAAAAAGGATTAGCCACGGCACGCTTTTTCGGAAGCTGCGGTAATTTGAAGGCATTGTGCACTAGCACTAGACCATATATAAGCACAAACGCATTAATATTTTTTCTATAAAAATGTTCCAGTAACCTCAACCCAATAGAAAAGGCAGAGAGGAGAGGGAGGAGGGGCAGGAATAAAGGAGATAAAAAGCCTAAGAGGCGTCAGCAAGGAACAGTTCCTTATCTGTGGCAGGTCAGGAGCCCAGGCTCGCCACAGCTGACACAGAGCTCTGAGTGTTCACGAACACACATATCAAACTGTCAATGCTGTAATGCTCCAGGACACCTTCCATACAGCTGCTCTGGTGCCTTACAGATAAGCTACATTGCAAGTAAAGAAATGGACTCGTAAGAGTAGGATGTTGAAGTTCATGCTAAATCATTATTTACTTACATCTAGTCGTCCTAGATCCAAACCCCTCCATCTAAACATCAGGGAGGGTCCCACCGAGATCCGGACTGTGATTCTTGGGCTGGTTAGCCTCACACACACTGACCCCAACCCAGTGCCGGGGAACTGAGACTCTCTGTACAAGAAGAAGTAACACAGCATTTTCTGTGCTACTTGCAATATTGGTCTATTTTTGTAAGAGTACGGCTATGGATGCAGCCACAGTGAACACTCTAGTAAACCTTGATAACCCCTGGGCCTGGAAGTTGCAGGCAGACGCACTGCAGGCTTTAAACCCTCCCAATTCTTTCTTTCAGATCTAAACTGCTTCCAGAAATTTATCAACTTTTAGTACCACATTGTGGCTACAAGGTACTTGTTGCCTTATGGGTTGTGAGCTCTTTGGTTGGCAAAGGCTTTTTTTTTTTTTTTTTAAACAAACAAACAAACAAACAGGAGCCATTAGTTAACATTTTGGGCACATAAGAAGGGCTATATGGTAAAAATTAGCTATGTGCATTGTGTGTTCTTATCCACAGTCACTGTAATTTGATAGATAAGGCTATATGCCCTGTTGAGGACAGGCAATTAACGGCTCCATAATCTGAATTTCTTCAGATTATGAACTATAATTCTTCTGGTTACTGTCTCCTCAGTATTCACTATGCTTCTGGGAAACGGAACCCTTCTTTGTTCAGGTAGCGCAGACCAACATCCTGAGGTGATGGCTCTGACTTCCTACGTAGAGGCCGTGTCAAACTGAGTGCTGTGCCAGAAGCCCCATCGAGGAACAAGTATGGAAACTTGGCACAGCAGAAAAAAGGCACAGACAGTTTGTAACGGCAGGTGGGAAAGGGGAAAACTCCCCCAGGAAGAGGCCTAACTCAAGATAGCAGAAACTATGTAAAAGTGAAGACTGGGGGGGGAACAAACAACACAACCATAAAAACAAACAACCAACAAAGGAGCGAGGGGTTCACAGGGGCACCGAGGTTGGAGGAGACCTCCAAGGTCACCAGGCCCAGCCCCCGGCCTAGCAGCAGCTCTGTCAGGCACCATCCTGCGGCACGGGGAGGCGCTGTTGGAATGTCAGAGCCGCACGGCGCCTCCCGCAGCCGAGGCCGGAGGCAGCAGCCACTCCCCTGCTGCAGAGCACGCCGCAGCCCGGCTGCCGAGCCGCGCGGGAAACACTCGCAGCCGCGGTGCTCGCTCGGGCTCTCCTCGCGGGCGACCCGGGGCCGCTCCACTCGGGCCTAACGAAACCGCGGCGCTGCCGAGGAGCGGCCCCGGGGCCGGCGGCGGCACCCCCGGAGCGCGCAGCCCCTCATTGGCCGGGCCGCCTCCTGCCGCGGGCTCTGATTGGTCCAGCCCCCCCCGCCCCCCGCCCCCCGCCCCGCGGCCGGGCCGCCGGCTGTCAGTGCCGCGTGCGCGTCCCCGCGTGCCGCAGGAGGCCCCCGCGAGACGTCCGGGCGGGGCCGCGCGGCGCTGGGCGCACGGCGCGCCCGGGGACTCGGCTCTCTCGACAGCTGATTTGCCGGCGCGGCTGCCAATCGAGAGTGAGGGCGGAGCTCTTCGGCGTCGCGCTGACAGAGGGAGTTAAGCCCCGCCTTCTTCCGCTTCCGACTGGATAGCTGAGCTGTCCTGTTCTTTTTCTTTTTCTTTTCTATTGGGCGGCACCGCTGTCAATCGCGGCGCGGGGCGGGAACTAGCGCGAGACGGCAGTAGGCGGGAGCAGAACAAACCCCGCTCAGGGATTGGCCTAAAAGCCATCAGTTCGCGAGCCCCTTTCCTGCGACTGGCTCCCCTGGCCGTCAATCAAACGCGCGGGCGGGCCACCTGACCTCGCGGGGGCGGGACCAACTTCCTGACGCTCTGATGGGCCTCCTCGGCCGTCCGTCTGTCCCCTGCCCGCCGCCGATTGGCCGGGCGCGCCGTCATTCCGGCGCCGTCAGCCCGCCGATTGGACGGCAGCGGGGGAGGCGGGGGCGTCGCGCGGCGGCTGCGCGGGGGGACGCGGCGGGGAGGGACGGGCCCGGAATTATTTTTATTTCTTTGTTTCCAGGGGGGGAAGAAAAAAAAAAAAAAAAAGAAAAAAGGCAAAAACAAACAAACAGCAAAAAAAAAAACACACCAAAAACCGGAGCCGCCCCGCCCCCACCCCGCGCAGGGAGGCGCCCCGCGGGGCCCGGATGCTGCAGCCGTGAGCGGGGCCGGGCCCGGGCCGGCGGCATGAAGCGGCGCAGCGCCGAGTGCAGCAAACTGCGGCGGCCGCTGAAGCGGAACCGCATCGCCGAGGGCATCTACGGCAGGTACCGAGCGGCGGGGGGGCAGCGCCCCGCCCGCGCCCCGCCCCGCCGCGGCCCGGAGCTGCTGGCCAGGGTCCTGCCGCCGCCCCCCGGGGGGGGGGGGGGGGGGGGCTGGGGCCGGGCTGGGGCCCCCCCCATGTCCGCGGTGCCCCGGGGCGGCCGGGAGCCCTATGGCGGCCCCCGCGGGCAGCCCCAGGCGCTCGGCCGAGGCTCCCGGCGGCGCGGCGCTGGCAGCGGGCGGCGGGCGGGGGCCGGGAGCCGCTGAGGGCTCGCCGGGCGCGGAGCGGAGCGGGCCGGGCCGGCGGCTTCTTGCGTGCGGAGCCCGGCCCGGGACCCCCGGCGCTGCCTGCCCGTGGGCCCGTTCGGGGCGGTTGTGAGGGGGTTGTCCGGGCGCTCTGCCGGCCTGAGCCAGGAGGGCGAGTCGGGTACCAACGCGATCGTAACGCGTTTCGGAGGAACGAGGAGTTTGTTGCCGTGGAGGGTGGCGAGGGGACCTTTGGCAGCTGTGGTAAGGACAGGGGCCCCGCTCTGCTTTGAGTTTGGGTTATCCGTGCAGCTGCTGGGAACTTGAGCCTGTAATTCAGAGATGTTGTGCACAGGTAGCATCCCGTGCACCTACAGATTTCTAAATTAGTGAAATTACTCTAGATACTATAGCCATTGACTCAGTTTATCTTAATTGCTACCCTCCGTTTATACAATCCCAGTAAATGCAGTTATCAGTAGGGAGCATCGTAGTGATACAAACAACACAGCCAGGCTGAACAAATAGCATGATTGGGATACTTGAACCCTTTAGGATTTTTGTTTGTTTTTTAAATTAAGAGCAATCTTCCTGTCCTTGTTCCACGGTGCAGTTCCCTTGGTCCAGTCTTTCAGTGCAGAGCTAGTCACAACTGTCCCAGGCAGACACATGCGAACGTAACTGAGAGTTGCAAAGCTGGAGAGTTTTGGAGCAGTTGAAGGAATGAGAGAACTGGACTCTGATGGCAGGCTTCACTACGGGTGCTAATCTGTAACAGTGTGCAAGAAGTGATAGAAAAATATTTTCTAATCACAAAACAGAGTCAGAAACGTAAAATGCTGGGTTGCATTGAAAAATTAATATCCTGGCTCCCTTCACGTTGCTTTTATACCAGCTTCTGCTGTATCCTTTTAAACAAGCTTTTCTAAGGGCTCACAGCCTTTCTTACTTGGAATTACACAGCTGTAGTTCTTACTTTCCTCAGTGTTCACTCTGTAAATTTAATGGCCTCAGCCCTTCATAAAGACTTCCAAAGTTATTTGTGAACAATCTTCCGTTCCCCACCTCTACCTTCTCCATCAAATTTTCAACAGCTGCACAATATTATGTGCAGCTGTGATAAAGACTTAGGCCGTTTAGAAGTACTACAGAACTGTAGCATTGTACAGTGGAATACTGTACTGTACTGTGATACTTTTCTGCGGAAAGAGTGTTGTTATCATTAAAACCTTACTGTGCCTTCAGTAGATCTCCAAAAGTAACAAATGGTTGGTAGGCAGAGATCACCAGATCTCTTGTTTCCTCAGTTCGTGCTCAAAATTTTGCCTTTGTGCTTCTCAAGCTGTCTGTTGCTATTGTTCTATAACTTGTGAGTGCCTAACATCTTATGCCTTTGACACTGCTCACGCATTAATATTTCAGTTGTTAATTGAAGTGTTCACTGCAGCTTGTCATCGGTTAAGCAATTAAAGTTTGCTTGTTACCGCTTCTTTCTATGTATCCCAGTCCTCATACCGGATCTATTTGAAATCCTCTGCCTTTATTTTGGTACTGCTTGTTTTGTCTCTACACAGTCATGTTGGCAGTTCGTACCAATTTGGTAGCTGGTTACATTTTGAGAGCAATCCCACTTGCAGTTGGCCTAACTTCCACATCAGCTGACTTCTGCTCTGTGTCGTGGATTTTCAGACTGTGGTCCTTAAATGCTCTGTGTTCCTTTAGTGCTGGGATTTTTTTTATTTTTTTTTTAGCTCTGTGTATATTGCTTTTTATCATAGGCATTACCTGGGCTGGCAGCCAAGTGAATGCATAGGAGAATGTGTATGTGTCTGTCATCTCCCAGTGGTGACTGAGATACCCGCTCGTGGGATAAGGGCAGTTCATGCCCCTGGGCATCTAATAGCATCTAATGGGGTGGTATTTCTTGATATCGGGATGTCTGTGCTGAGATACTCACGTGGTTCTGCATACTACCTAACTTCTGATATAGCTTATTTCCAAGGACCTGATTTTGGATTCTGCCAACAGCTAAATAAACTGTAAAGAAAAAACAGTTCACTACTAACCATGGCCTCTTCTTAGGCTTTATTTTTAAACCCATGATGATTCTTCCTACTGATTTATTCCGGCACTTTTTTTTTTTTTTTCCCCTCATGTAGAAAGCTTATTAAAAAAAAAAAAAAAGTTATTCCTAAACTGCCCCTGAGGTCTGTAACAAACAGACAGCGCTACCTTTTGTGGCTTTAGACTTGAGAACTGAATTTAAGTTAGTTTACGTTTAAATGTATTCTGTTATGTAAACCATAATGGTACGTGTGTTACCTCTTAGTTCTGCCAGTAACTTTCATTCCATGCACACTGCAGGTCCTCTTGATTTATTTCATATGTTCTGGACTGGTGTTTTCAGCTGAGTTACCACAGTGGGCTGATAGCTTCTCTTGTTCCAGCACTACAATACTGATTGCTGATTATATACCTGTGGTTCAGCCAGTCTGATACACTTGCTTCCAGAATTACTGAAAAGAGTTCTCTGTTTTGTCTACCAACACTTACATTTCCATGGTTCAGTGATTTGTGTGTTCTGTACTGTATCGAGATACTGAATAAGTAGTTGGGGAGACTTCCTGGGATTCTTTCCTTTTGGAAAACTGACTTGGCAAGTATTTTGCATAATAGTTTCCAGTATGCATACCACGTCCCAGCAGTCATGTTTTCCTTCTTGCATACGTGCTGTGCTCATTCCGCACTGCTTTTCTATCCACTAATGATAGTTGTGTGTGTATGTAAACACACACATATGTATAATGCTTTTTCCTTTGAAAATTTCCACTGGTATTCATCATAGAATTACGGAATGGTTTGGGTTGGAAGGCCCTTAATGACCATCTAGTTCCAATGCCCCTGCTGTGGGCAGAGACACCTCCCACCAGCCTGGCTTTGGGCACTGCCAGGTGTGGGGCAGCCACAGCTGCTCAGGGTAGCCTGGGACAGGGCCTCACTGCCCTCATAGTGAAGAGTTTCTTCCTTATAGCTAATCTAAACCTACCCTCTTTTATTTTAAAGCCATTATGCCTGTCCAGGTAGATGATGTCAGTTGCTCTCCCCTTATCCCCGTGCAGTGACCCCATCACAGAAGGCCACCAGATTTGTCAGGCATGATCTGCCCTTAGCGAGGCCATGCTGGCTGTCACTGGGCACAGCCTTATTTTCCACGTGCCTTAGCGTTGTTTCTAGGAGGATCTTGCGCAGCACAGAGGTGAGACTGCCCAGCCTGTAGTTCCCTGGGTCTTCTCTTTTTCTCTTTTCAAAATGGGGGTGGTGTTTCCTCTTTTCCAGTCACTGGGAACTTCATGGGACTGCCACAACTTCTCAAATGTGATGGGCAGTGGCTTAGCAACTACATCCGCCAGCTCGCTCATGAGCAGTGGATGCATCGCATCAGGCTCAATCAACATGTGCACGTTCAGGCTCCTTAGGTGGTCTTGAACCTCCCTTACTGTGGATGTTCAGTAAGCATCCCAGGCATCCCAAATGTTCTGTCAGGCATCAGATAGATAACCCTGAGACTGTGGTTGCTGACCGTTTGGTAATTTCATATGCGTGTTAAACTTTCCTTTTGCAAAGTCTGCCTCTGCATTCAGTGTCCTGCCGGTCTCAAGATGCAGTCTACGATACTGTAATTATATCATGAGTCAGGCTGCAAAATGAAGTGTTCCATCAGCTCAGCTGAGATTCACTTTGCAGTGTGTGGGGCAGGGCTTCAGATAGTAGTGGGATGGAACAGAGGTTTCATTTGCTATCAGTTTGGATTTGGGGTACCTAATTGTTTTTACTTCCATCGTTGGTTTTTGTTTGGTTGTTTTTTTTAATGCTTTGACATTACAGCAAGAACAGTATCTGATTCTATGGGGCAGTGAAAAGAGAGGAAAGAACAAGAAGAATGGAAAAAAAATAAAGAGGAAATGCCATCTGGCACTTGAGTGGGGAGGATGGAGGAAAAGTAAGGCGGACAAATAGTTATTTGAAAATTCAAAGAGGGAGAATTGACCTTTTAATGGAATTTACAGTACTGTTACCACCGCTCTGTCCAGTTCAGTACCTCATCAATGTGTTCATCCTTCCCCCTTAGCCCCCACCTTGTATTACGTTACAAGACTTGAGATGATATGCTAGTT